GCCTCCAGCCACAGATGTAGTGTGTTCTCATCCTCTGCTCTTAACACCCTCCAGGGCCTAGCCCTGTCTGACTGCTTATATTTCTACTTAACGTACCTGTCTATAATAGTATCATTCCAATATCACTTACTGGTTGTATGTACTGTTCCACAAGAGACCATAGAAATATTTTTTTATGTTCTGAAAGTATTTGGTTATCTTTTCTGCTTTTGCTTTATATAACCTAGTTTATAAATTAGAATTTATTTTGAACTGTTCTCTTCAGGCTTAAATGTGGTACTGTGGATATCAGGGTACTTATGAATTCATTAATACATAGTCCTTAAAATAGATCAGTAATTGTCAAATAATGTTGCTTGAAGCAATCGTCTTAAAGCCATTTAGAAGAAGGTATGTTTTTGGTTTTTGTTTTCATTCTTCAAGATACATAAAGTATATTTGAGTATGCCATGGTAGTCACTTGTTAATTAGCTATTATTGTTATTTTTTACATGTTTGTTTTAAATCCTAAAGTGATTCACACATTACTAAACATCTTAACTGGGTGCAGTGGCAGCTAAATAGGAAACTGAGGCAGGAGAATTGCTTGAGCCCAGAATTTTGAGGTCACCCTAAACTACTTAGCAAGAGTCTGTCTTAAACAAAGTTAACTTATAAATACAAATCTTGATGATTACACTACTTTTAGCTATTGTACTATTATTTATAATTATTAACTATGATATTTTTTATTTTTGTGGAGAATGCTGTGAATTTTGCCTGGACAAAATCTATAGCACTTTTTTTTCTGGTGTGTTCTAAAAGTATATGGAAGGGTTTGAAAGGAGTAGTAAATTTCTAAAATACAGTGTAGGCAGTGGTCAAATTGTAGACTCCCTATATGGTATGTAGGACTATATCAGAGATAGTTAACCCCTGAATGTCTCTGCATTGATAGATGTATGCAGGTCTCCCTTCCAGGACTGTAAACAGACACTTTTGCTCAATTTAAACATTTTTCTTGAAATTGCAATTAAGAGAGAAATATACTTTATTTTCATTGAAGCAATTTGATCTTTATCATGTGTGTATATGCTGTAGTATTATAGATCTTAGGTGCAGGAAGGGAAATTATATACATATTTATATATCTGATCATTAATACATATTTATATTATATAAAATGTATTTATAACACAAACATATCATTTATATATCATATAAAGTTACATATAAATTTATATGCAATTTATACTAGATCTTATAAAATTCATATATAATTAATATTATTAAAATATATAATGATAAATACATTAATAGTTTCTCTTTCTGTGCCTAATGGCTATAATAACAAATTGGAGTAATAAGTTCTCTTTGTGGCTGTTTATATAAGATAAATACTGTGTTGAATCTGGTCCAAAACAAATTATGAAGTAGGAATCTAACTAGAATTTTGAAATAAACTATTTGTTACTAATTATTTCTCTCCTAAGAAGTGAAAATTAAAATTATAATTGCCATATTATAAAAGGACCTTGCTTTATTTTTAATATGTGAGCTCTGAATAGTATTTAAAATTGTGTTGGCCTGGTGTGGTGGTGCGTGCTTATAGTCTCAGCTATTCTGGAGGCTTAGGTGGGGGCATCACTTGAGCCCAGCAGTTCAAGACCAGCCTGGGCAATATACTGAAGATCTGTTTGACAGTAAATTAAAGTAAAATTGTGACTTCTAAAAATCATAGTAAAGTGTTTTGTTTGTTGTCAGCATTTATAAGTAGGGAAGTGAGAAGTCTTAGGAAATACTATTTTTATTCTCAATTTTTTATTTTCTCTAAATTCTGTCCATGAGGGCATATGGATACTGACAAGCTCTGTCTTCAAAAAGATGATTAAAACAAATGTATTTAGAAAACAATAATAAAGAATGAAATTTAAAAATTGTGTAAAAGACTTATTGTATAAATGCCCTAAAGATACTTAAGCTAAAAAATTAGTCATGTTTTGTAATTTCATCAGCTGTTTTACTGTCTTGATTATGTTCATCTTAATTACATTAAGATTCACTTTCCACTTCTATGTCATAGCCATTATATTACTTGATATCTTAAAAGATCAATATCAAGTATTGAATCATTGTGCCTCTGTTACACAACATTTTTATCTCTTTGCTAGTGAATGTGTCTTGATTATCTAGGATGTGCTACTTTCAGAATTGGTGTGAAATCTTAAAATATTAAAAGTTTTAGGCCTTGGGATGTAGCTCGGAAATAGTGAGTGCTTAGCATGCCCAAAGCCCTAGATTTGATCCACTCTGCCCTCAAAAATAAAATAAGTAAAAGTTTTAATATATTGATAAATGCTGAGAATATGATGAATACTTGCATTCTTTTAATTAGTATGTTCTTATGTTTCAGATTATAAATTATTAGTGAAAATACTGTATTGATAGAAAGTTGTACTTTACATGTTATGATGGAATTACCTTATGTGTCATCATTGATACATTTTTACACAAATTTGCCAGAATATGTTTACAAACAGTAGATATCACATGCTATGTCAGGAAATTCTGTAGTAAGTCATTTTCTTTGTAGACTTGTTTTGCATCTTCTCATAGAATTCATCTTAAAAATAGCAAATTCTTGTCTTGCTAATGAAATCAATGTTACATATGTATTTTTTTCTAAAAAGCACAACTCAAGGTCTCTTCACAGTAGTGGGGATTGAGACCAGGGATCTCTGAGCTACATTCTCAAGCTTTTTTCTTTTTTAATTTTGAGACAGTTTCAGTAAATTATCCAGGCTAGCATCAGACTTTCTAATTGCCTTGCCACAGCCTTCAGAATATCTGGGACTATAGGCATGCCCTCCCATACAAATAATAAAATTTAAGATTTTATTATTTGGTTTTGTATAACTTGAGCATTTATATCCTTACTATTCAGATAATGCTTCTTGCTTTTTAAAACCCATGACTCCTTTGACTTATAAAGTATTTTGTTTTATAAATTTTGTTAAGATTTTTAAAATTAGTTCTTGTGTTTAAAAACAAAATTAGAGCCAGGGCTTTAGCTCAGTTCTGCCGCCTGCCTCGTAAGTGCAAGGACCTGAGTTCAGTCCCCGGTACCAAAAATAAATAAATAACAATTTAAAACAAAATTAAAGCACATGTTAAGTATCCTTTTTTTCAATTCTTCTGACCTTCCTTTTATACCAAGATGGATTTTATAACCCTTTCCCTATGGAGGAGGAAGAAAGTCCCCTCTCCTTTACCAAGACTATACTAATTAGATATTGCAGTTTAACATTCATGTCCCTCAATTGAGGAAAACATAGAATGTTACCACATTTATATTGGTAAGAGTTGGTTCACAAAAACTCAGCAAATGAGCTATTTAAAGATATTTCATTTTCCTAATGATTTGGTCCAATTTTATTGTTTCTTAGGGGTTAAAATTAAATATGTGCATACTATACATTTAGATAGTACTATAATCCCACATAGACATTTCAATTTAAAACTAAAAAACTGGTTAAAAAAAAAGTTTCAGTTTTTTCCACAATTGTGAGTCAGTTTCCTGTTCACATTGACTGTGCTTTTCTGAGTTGAGCAAACAAAGTGCCTGTGATCTTTAGAGTATGCACCCTTTAATTCTGCAGCACTAGTTATCTGCGTCATGTAGAACTTAGCTTTTGAGGCTTTGTATGAGCTACATGTGAGTGTATTAAGCATCAGGTGCCCTGACCTTTAAACTTTTTTTCTTTTGACATTCTAGACCAGGACAAAGGAGTGAAGCTGAGTCATTATTGTCAGAGTTTTACATCTAATTGTATCCCTTACACGTTTTTTCTCCTTTTTCTTGTACTGGAGTGTGGCTCTAAAATAAAATGTATTATATTGCACCAAAACAGTAATAGAAGTAGTAGACAAGTGGTACTTGCATAGCTGACGTTTTTTGTTTTCCTATTCACATTATTCATCCTCACCACCACCACCACCGGGGATCAAACTCAGGACCTTGCGCTTGCGCAGCACCACTGAGCTAAATGCCTGGCCCCTATTTATCTATTTTCACTGTTTTCCAGTAAGATTCTGTACTTAGCTGTTGTACTCATATGTTAAGTTGGGTACAATAGTTGGCAGAAAAAATAAACTCGGGTATGAGTTGAGAATATGCAGTCATATCTGCTTGGGAAAAGAACCAGTATCATTAAATAAAAATAGAATATTTTATTTTTAAAATTTCTGTCTCCTGCTAGCAGGGAACAGAACAGTGATCAAACAAGTAAATGTGAGGCTTACTATTTTTCTTTTTTTGTTCAAAAGTCTGAGAGGGAAGAGGAAGGTCTAAGAAAAAGATTTTGCTTAATTTGTCCAGGCAGTATATGCAGTGGAAGCTTACTGTTTCAAAATTAAACTGGGTCCTAGCTTTACATTATTGTTTTTCTAAATTCTAATATTTAAAGTTGTATTTCACTTATTTTCATTATTAAAATCCTAAAGAATTACATTTTCCTTTAAGTTGATTATATATACACAGTTCATTGTAAATATATTTAATTGATATTCCAGTTTGGCCTATTTAAAGTGATTCTCTGTGTCTGTGTAACAGTTATATAAATGTTCCACATTAAAGCAGGTTAGATGTTATCAAAACTTACTTACTGCCTAGGCCAGTCTCTATCATTTTAAATGTAACACTAATCCGTAAAGTTTTTTTTTTGTTTTATTATCTGCACGTGGCTGTCACTGTAAAATGTTTAATGCATTAGGCACTATAGTAACCAGCAGAAGTGGTTCCACGTGTTGGCTTTTGCAAGGTTTTGCAAAAGTCACTGTGTACTCCTTTCTTGACATGGTGTGGCATGTCAGTTTTCAAAACCCACGTGCAAGTTTGAGATTTTGAGATTAAAACTAACGTAGAAAGCTTGGGGCAGCAAAATATTTAAAAATTATTCTCTGATGGCCTCAATGATTATATTTTAAGGGTATATAAAGCTTTGAATCCCCCTCTTCAACAGATTGTGAAGACTGCAGAACAAGAGTTGGAATCCAGTTACACAAGTATAATAAAGAAATATCGGTCTTCATGGAAGAAGAACAAGATTTACCAGAGCAACCAGTAAGTATTTCCTTTAACAATTTAAAGCTAATTATAGAAAAACTAATCTTATGAGATTTGAAATATTATTTAATTGTCTATACTTATAAATTCCAAATTAGAAATGAAAATAAAGACTTCTTAATCATTTTCCTCTAAGAAGACAATGTTATATGTTCTTAAACTCATTTTTGGCTAACTTAATGCTAAGGAGTCTGTTTAGAAAATTCGGCATTACAAAGTGAATGTTGTATTTGGAAATGTTATTTTTAAAAAATCAGTGACTGGTGTTACAATTTTTGAAAAATAAAAGACCTCTTTTATTTTCTAGAAGAGGTTACCAGTTACACAGTATACCACTATTTCTACCAGAAAATTTTGTCTTTTTAAAAAAATTTTTATAACTGACTTAATTTTTTAAAACATAGTAGTGAGGAAAGTATAATTTGACTACCAGTTAATTGTTAAAAGACCTTAGAGACTAAACTGATCTTAGAGACTAGATTGAATTAACTTCTTTTAAGTATTTAATAAGTAAATTTTAAATGTGTCCAGGTGATATGGCTTTATTGCCTTGCCATGACATTTCAGGACTTTCTTTTGTTTTTTGTTTTGGTACTAGGGATCGAACTCGGGTCTTTGCTCTTGCAAGGCAGGCAGCAAAACCACTGAGCTAAACTCCTGGCCCCCCTGTTTTTTGATCTTTAACATTGAAAAACATGGAAGTAACTGTGTGTATGTTAACTTTTATGTTAAAGGTTCTTTTTTTTTTTGGCAGTACTGGAGATAACCTCAGGGCCTTGTATAAGGTACACAAGTGCTTTCCACCCCCAGCCCTTTTTAATAAGGTTTTTATTTTTGAGACAGATCTTATGTTGCCTAGTCTGGCCTCACTTGTAAAACTCCTGCTTCAGCCTCTTCAGTAGCTGTAGTTAGGGGCCTTTACTACCATGCCCTGCTAAGGGTCTTTTCCTATTTTCTAATTTAGTTAGATAAATACTGATTAAGTTTGCTATCCTGAGAGGAACTCTTGGATTTCACATTAAGAGAGAATAAGTAGCGGTACATTATTTCTCATCTTTATGAAAAATCAACCTAGAAAAGAGTACGAAATTTGAAAGCAGATAATAAGATTTTGTGTGTGTGTGTGTGTGTGTGTGTGTGTGTGTGTGTGTGTTCTAGATATATCCCCCCCCCTTAGTACTGGGTATTGAACCAGAGCTTTTGCACTAAGCTCTTTAAATTCTGAGACAGCATCTTGCTAAGTCCCTAGGCTGGGCTTGAACTTTACCATCCTCCCACCTCGGCCTTCCGGAGCTTCTAAATGTAGCCTTTACATCATGATAGGACAGACAGCAGCTTCCATTTAAATAATGGCACCTTTTAATAGAATTTTAATATTCTTTATGTTAAGAATTATATACTGTTAATTACTTTGCTATTGTTCTTTTAGCCCTTTCAATTGAGGTACGTGTAATACTAGTATGACATAATTTGTAGAAATTTGTGAAACATTTGAAATGTAAGCCTCTGTCCTTGGGACAGTAAGAATAGTAGTAGGTTAAAAACTATATCCTGAGCAGAATACTTGTAAATAATACATACACCATTGGCACAAACAGTTGAACTGTAGGCACTAAATGTTCCAAGGAAAATTACATCATTGAGTGTTTAAGACAAAAGTCTGCTCATATTTTCAAGACTTATGTAATTGTTGCTATAACTACTGAAATGGAATTGTTAGTTACTCCTTACCTGTTTAAGGTAATGGGAATTGTGAGGCTGACTTGTTGACAAATCATTTTTTCTCTTCTGCCTTATTTTCTTATTCTATAAAATGATCTGCAAAACCTGGTTGTTACTTCAGAGGAAGGTAAGATGTTGAAGCACTAAAACCCAATTTTCTGCTGACCATATGTGTAAACAGTTATCATCATGGAACATCATTTTCCTTATTGATTTGTGTACAGGTCTGGGTTTACAAAATTAACTGTGATAGTATGGAAAGGTCAATACCATTGAAAGAAAAATTTAACATACATCCCCTAAAAATGAGAGGCACAGCATGTCACACAGGGCCATAGGAGGAGGCACTATTGTCTGTCAGGAAGCAGGAGCTAAGGAAAGATGTGGGCCACAGGAAAGGCAAAGCAGAGCATAGCAGTAGTTTAAATAATTTTATTAGGCTTTGTGGCCTAGGGCCTGTTCCCTGTTGCATATTTGGGTTGATTTAAGGTTTGGTATATGAGAACTTGGTAGAGGAAATGGCTCAGACTGTAGGCTATGGATCACAGGGGAGATACAAACAGTTTTGGCTTTGGGGCCTGTAACTAATGGGTGGCAAATAGACAAGAACAGAATCCAAGAAAACATAGAACACTTATTAACTGTCAAAAATAGAATAGAGCCTAGCGTGGTGGTGGTGCACGCCTGTGATCCCAGCACTTGGGAGGCTGAGGCGGGAAGATTGCACAAGCTCAGTGCCAGGTTGGGCTATATAGTGAGCTCAAGACTAGTCTGGACTACATAGTGAAACCCTGTCTGAGCAATAAAAGAACCGAACAGAACAGGCTGGGCATGGTGGTATACATCTTTATTCCCAGCACTCAAAAGTCTGAGGCAGAAGACTTGCTGTGTGTTTGGGCTACATAGTGAATTCAAGGCTAACCTGAACTATACAGCAAGTCCCTGTTTCAAAAAATAAACAAAAAAGGCACCCCCAAGATCAGAGGAGAATTGAGGCCTAATTGGCCTCCTCTGTGAGCACAAAGGAGAAAGGCTGCATTCTGCTCTGTTCCATTGATCCTTGGGTCTGTTTCTTTGCCAGTACTATGCTTTTTTTTTTTGTTTTTTGTTTTTTGAATCACAGTGGCTTTGTAGTATAGTTTCAAGTTGGGGATTGTGATACCCGCTGCCTTGTCTTTATTGCTTTTGCTATTCTAGTCTCTTCTGGTTCCAAATGAATTTATGGATTGTTCTCTTTAGTTCTGTGAAGTATGCTGTTGGGATTTCAATTGGGATTGTATTGAATCTATATACCGGGTTTGGAAGTGTGGCCATTTTCACTATACTGCTTCTTCCTACCCAGGAACAAGGGATGTCTTTCCATTTTCTGATATCCTCTTTGATTTCTTTTTCAGAGTGCTGTAGTTTTCAAAGTAGAAGTCTTTCACTTCCTCTGATTGATTCATAGATATTTCATTTTTGATGCTATTGTGAAAGGAATTGTTTCCCTATTCTCTCTCAGTGAGTTTGTTATTCGTATACAAGAAAGCCATTGAGTTTTGAGTGTTGATCTTGTATCCAACTATTCTAGTGAATCTGGTTATTAAGTCTAGAAGTCTTTTGGCAGAGTTTTTGGGGTATCCTATATAGAGTATTGTTGTCATCCACAAATAATGACAGTTTAACTTCTTCCTTTCCTATCTTTATTCCTTTTTTTTTTCTCTTGTCTAATTACTGTAGCTAATGTAAAACATAAATGTTAACCTTAATTTCCCTTTGTTGCTAACCAGTGCTCAACCTGCTACTATCAGAAATGACTCTCTCTACAATCAGGAATTATTGAACTTAACTCACTAAGTCTTTTTTCAGCCAGTCTTCATCTTTTTCAACTGTTCTGAAAGGCTGTTCTTAGTAAACTGGAAGCGTTAAAGAACTCCTTTAAAGCTTCTGCAAACTTTGTGGCCACCTGAATTCAAGTTATAAAAAGATACAAATGTGCCACATATGTTGTCAGGTGCCTGTAATCCCATACTCTGGGAGACTGAATCACAAGGATCAAAAGTTCAAGTCTAGTCTGGGCAATTTAGTGACTTAGCAAGACCCTATCTCAAAACTTAGAAATAAAATTTTAAAAGGACATAAATACATAGAGAAAGTTCTTGGAAGGTTCTACACCAAGCCCAATACTGATTATTTCATTCAGGTGTAGGGTATGACAGCTCTTTTATATTTTATTCTATATATATATCTGTATGGTTTGAATTTTTTTCCATCACTGCTATATAAGATTTTTAAATTAATTTTATTGGTACATTTTAGGTATACAATATGGTGACATTCATCATTGAGAATTTGTACCTTTACATAATATATCTTGTTCTTATTTTTTTAAACATCCCATTGCCCTCCCTGCAACCCCTCCACTCCTCCCTATCTACAAAGACTTTGTTTCCATTTTTTCCTTTTCTCATATGTATTCTTTTCCCCTACCCCTCCCACTTAAAAACAATAAGCATATATGCCATTTATAGTTAATTTTGGGGGGCATACTAGGGATTGAACCCAGGGGCATTCTACTACTGAGCTGTAGCCCTAGCCCTTTTTTATTTTTTATTTTTGAGACAGGGTCTTGCTTAATTGCCCAGGCTAGCCTTGAACTTGCAACCCTGAGTAGCTGGGACAATAGGTCTGCATCACTGTGCATGGAAATGTATTTAACTCTTTATTTTTCAGTACTGGGGATTGAACCTAGGACTTTTACTCTGAGTAATAGTCCAGCCCCCTTTTTTATTTTTTTATTTGGAGACAGAGTTTTACTGAGTTACCAGGCTAGGCTCAAACTTGGAATCCTTCTGCCTGAGCCTCCTATAGTACTGGGATTATAGGCATGCACCTTCATTCCCAGCCTGAATCTAGCCTTAAAAAGGAGGACCTAGTCCAGGGCGTTAGCTCGGGGGTTCTGATGCCTGCTTTACAAGTGCAATGTCCCAAGTTCAATCCCTAGTACCCTCCCCCAAATAAATAAAATAAAAAGAGGACCTAGTCATACTGTACATAAAATAAGTGATATCATGATTATAGACAAAGTGTAATCTAAGCTACAAATAGCAAAGGGATGAAGTTTGGGAAATGTTCTTGAGAGCATCAAAGAAGACCTTTAGCTGGATATGGTGGTACATGCCTGTAATTTCAGCACTCTGATGGGCCAGGGATTTAGCTCAGTGGTGCTACTGCACTTGCCTCACAACTGCAGGGTCCTGAGTTTGACCCCTGGTTCCAAAAAAATAAATAAATTCACTAATCTCAGCACTCTAAAAGACTGAGGCAGAAGGATTGCTGTAAGTTTGAGGCCAGCCTAAGTGAGTTCAACACCAGCCCAAACTACATAGCAAGACCCTGTCTCAAAATACCAAATCAAACCAAACACCCCTCAAAAAAACAAAAAGATTTTAGTCTTATTTAGTAGCAAATATCTAAGTTCTAATCTTTCACTTTCATGGAGGTTTTATCCTATATAGACCTAAAACTTACAACATTATTGTCAAGTCATTGTTTATTTTCTAAAAAAACCATAGAGAATCAGAGAAGTACTTAAAATAAAAAGAAATGTTGTAGTGTTTTATTTGTTTTGCTTTATATTCAAAGGTGATAGCAAGGAGGAATTAGGTGGTAGAAGCTGTAGACTTATGCTGTCTTAATGCTGATTAATAACTATTCAAAAATATTATTGAACATTTGTGGATACTTAAAAAAAGATACGACCAGCAGTCATCAGGAGCTAGTAATTGATAGCTTAAAGTTTTAGGATATAAATACATCAAGTATCTATGTGATACTGGAAATCTGAAAAAATATTTTATTTTGTTCATTTATTTTTTAGACATGATCTCATGCCTGGCCACAAACTTGAGATCTTCCTGCCTTAGCCTCTCATATAGCTGGAATTACAGGCAGGGTACACCACCATGCCAAGCAATATTTTAAAGTGTCAAAGGATAATAGTGTTATATCTTCAGTAAATTGCAGTGTGACGTTTTTGTCTTGTTTTTCTTTTTGTATGCTGCTGAGGATGGAAGTCAGCTGGTTTTGGACTCAGGTAGTCCTCCTACCTCTGCCTCCCAAGTGTAGGGGTTACAAGCATGTATTACCACACCCAGTTCAAAAATACAGCTTTAATATTTTCTCCAGAAACTTTACCTGACCTACTCATCTTACTCTATCCCTCCATTCCCAAGCCACTTCCCCCCAGTAAAAAGACTTTGTTCAATGTCCCTTCTGTGTATACCATAGCATCTTATACTTCTGTCAGAATTTATGATCCCTTTGTTTTATAAATTATCTATTTACTCGTATTTCTTTTTAATGACTGTAGGTTCTGTGAGGTTAAGGTCTGTATTTGTTTTATCATTATGTTCTCTGTCAAGAGGACTTGGTGTAGGGACTTGTCTACTGAATGAATGCTAGGATGACTATGAACCAGAATTCTCATTGAATGAATGATGGATGACTGAGCCAGAATTCCAGTATAGGTATGTATTTAACAGTGGAGAATTTGTTGTAGGATAATTAGCAATTGCGGCAAGGCCACTACCTGCTACAACATTAGGTACATTTATAAGCCAATAACAGTTATTTGTTATGGTCAAGTATTATGTACTATATATAATTGGCATACACTATACTTTTATATGACTGGCAGTTCAGTACATTTACACCAGCATCCACAGACAGTATTACAATGTCTACAATGTCACTAGGTGATAGGAGTTTTTTGGCTCCCTTATAATCTTATAAGACCACTGTTGTATTTTTAGTCTGTCATTTACTGAAACATTGTTATAAGTGCATAACTATATTTAAAAAGTTTGCTCCAGGGAATTGATTAGCTAAATTTGTCAGTCTATGACTCTAATAAAATTGAGACTGTAATAAATTAGATTCTTGAATGCTCTTAATAATTCTTTATGTGGATTATGGTTTGGAGACTATAGACTAGTTATGGCGAATCTTTTTAGCACTTTCAGTGGTAACAAACAGCCCACTGTGACACGCGTACCATAAGCTCACTAACACTGTTATAGACTATTTTGGGTACTTGACCAACCAATTTACAAATGTTTTTCTTGATAGAGAAAGGATCTTTGATGAGTGAAACAAATTCATTTTCACTGTTGGCAAAAGTACATAATCTATCTAACCTATCATTTTCAGGTAGGAAGAACAGAACTACTTTTTGTTTTGTTTTTGGTTTTGGTTTTGGTTTTTTTTCCTGGTACTAGAATTGAACTCAGGACCTTGCACTTGCCAGGCAGGCATGGTATCATTGAGCTATATCCCTGGCCCTACCAGAACATTTTATAATGAGCTGCTTCATGTGTGAAATTATGTTGGGCAGACAAATTAGTTAAATTTTTCTTGTCTTTAGCCACTTTCTAGTCAAAACGTTGTTTGAAACATTATTTAGGTCAGATCATTTCTCCCCTGTCCTTTCCAGTGAGATTATGTTATATATTTATAAAACAGATTCACGATCTGCTTACTGTTCTAGGAGCCATCATCCTTGTGTTTGGTTTCTTCTGTGTACTGTTGTACAGAGACTTTACATATTTGTGTAATCTTACATCTCCATTTGGTCTTTTATGGCTTTTGGATTTAAGCATTTGCTTCAAATGCTTGGTTATTTTGTGTATTAAATTCGGGAGGTATTCCTCTCCCCTTTATCTTTTTTGGTACCTTGTGAACATTAAGGGAGTTTTGAATATAACAGAAATTTAGATGCCATTAAAAAAAGAGAGAGAAAGTAGTTTTATTTATTTTGTATATTCTCATGAGGAATAAATGTCCATGAAAAATATTATGGGACTTGAATTTATTACATACATTGTCAGAAATGTTAATTATAATCTTAATTAAATAGCCATGTTACCAGCTAATGTGTTTAAAATTATCTAGCAGAGTTTCTGCCTTTTTTCATTAGCTTGAAATTGTACTTTTAAAGATTCATAATTTGAATGGCTAAGCATATTGCGTGTTTCTTTTTCTTCTCCTTTTTTGAGAAGTTTCTCTGTGTAGCCCATGCTGGCCTAAAACTTGTGATCCTCTTGCCTCAGCTTCCTGGGGGCTGGGATTATAGGCATGTGCCACCACACCTGGCTGCACATTTTTATTATTGCCAGTTATTCTTACCAGAGAGCTCTAAAATCAGATTGTAGTGGGATGGAAAATATTGGGGAAAAAATTGCATCAGTGTCTAACATATACAGACTTTTCCTTATAATTATTTTCTAAATAATATAACTATATACAGAGTATTTACAATGGACTAAGTATTATAAGTACTATAGAGATTAAGTACATGGAGGATATGTATAGGTTTTGTGCAAATGCTATACCATTTTACCTGAGACTTGAGCATCCACAGAATTTGGTATGTGCTGTTCCCCCCAGATACCAAGGGACAACTGTATTGGCATAGCTATGTTGGTTTCAAAAACAAATCACTGTATTGACTGCTTTATATATTTATTTTTGTAGGTGAAAAAAGCCAAGATGCAGGAACCAGGAGAACAAACTTTAAGGTATGTAAAGTTGAAGTTCTTTTTAATAATTGTATTAGTTACCTTTCTGTTTCTGGGACAAAATGCTTGACATATTCAATTTAAAGAAAGAAAGATTCATTTTGGCCCCCAGTTTCATATGTTTTAGTCCATGTTCAGTTGGCTTCAGGGTACATGATAGCAGAAAGCTGCCTGCACTATAGCAATGAGGAAACAAGGGGAAGGAGCCCAAGGAAAGATACATCTTTGAGAGCCGTGCCCCTAGTGGCCTGCTTCCCCCAGCTGTGACCCACCTCCTAGCAGCCTACTCAGCAATGAATTCATCAATAGGTTAATACATCCATGAGCTTCACGTCCTCAGGATCTAGCTACCTCTCTAGGTGTATTTTAATTCAGTCAAACTGGCTCTCCAGATTGACTTTCACAATTGTTTACTTTCTCTTTTTCACATGCTGATTAATGTCTGGGCATGCTTCATGTTGACTGCCCTCTTTTTGGTTCTTAATGTCAGTCTTTGCCTTTTGAAATTATCTGTTTTAACATTAAAATTTCCTTCCAAGACAGGATTGCTTCATTCTGTTAGTCTGGGAAACAGTGAGATCTCATCTCAAAAGACAAAAAAACTCCTTCCAAAATGACTATTCCCCAAAATACATATGCTGGATATTTTTTTTAATGTATTCAACATTTATTAAACGATATATACTAGATTCATTTTATTTTAGTATTTATTTATTTATTTTTAATTTCTTTATTTTGGTTTTTGAAACAGGTTCTCACTATGTAGTTAAGACTGACTGGAACTCACTATGTAGCCCAGGCTGGTCTTGAACTCACAGCGATCCTCCTGCCTCAGCCTCCCTAGTGCTGGGATTACAGGTGTGTGCCACCATGCCCGGCTGTAATAGACTCATTTTAGATATTAACGATATAGGGGAGATCTGAAGATGAAAATGAAAAGTTCCATATTCTTAATATACAAAATAGAAAGCATAAGCCAAGATAAGGGAAATTGAGGAATTTATTAACTATCAAATGGATATGGAGTGCCTTAGTCGTTAGTTCCACTCCCCTATAGAATAAAGGTAAAGGGTATGACATAGTGGTAGAGCACTTGCCTAGCATGTGTGAGGCCCTAAGTTCAACCAACAACAATTAGCCACTTACCTATCCAATTATTCAAATAGAGGATGATCAAAAATTGCATATTTTTTCATTAATTTTTATAATATAACTGGGAATAAAAAACCAACAATTTTATCAAATTTATTCAAAACAAGAATCGAGTGGTTGAAATGACACCTGCCCGAGTGACACTCGAGATAGTCTGCAGACAAACGTGCTGCCCATGTGACACTTGGGGTAAACTGTTAAGTGGTTAAAAAGGAAAGAAAGAAAAAGAGGCAGCTTTTTATTTCTCATGTGCTCTGACTCCCTAATTCTTGGTTTTTAGTTTTCCGCAATTATTACCTCTTGCCTTTTGTCCACCAACCATGTGTGCCAGTAACTCCATCACTTCTAATACGTTCGCTTCAGACATTCTTTTACCACTCCACACTGTCATTCTGGCTCATTTATGCTAGAACTGTCGTGGTGGCCATATGATGTCTCACACTTCCAGTTAAATGATTGTTGTATTTTCATTATTACCCTTCCTTCAAAAAGAACATGAGTTTCTTCTTTGTGCTGCTTAAATTTTAAGATTTACTAATATCAGTCTCCTTGTCTCTTTTGGGAAAGGGTTCTGGGGGCTGAATTTAAAGCCTTCACACTGAACTACATCCTCAACCCTTTATTTTTTGAGCTAGGTCTTAGTTGCCCAAGCCAAGCCGGAGGTGTAGTCCTCACCTCAGCCTCCCAGAGTGCTGGGATTATAAGCATGTACTGATATGCCTGGCTGCAGATGTTCTTAACTTCTTCCTTTTTCCTGTGTCATACTTATCTAGCAAAACCACAGCCTTGTTTAAATTCTGTTTGCATTTTCCATGCATATTCCCATCACCTTAACATTATAAGAGAAAAACACAAACCTATACTGGCTATTCTTAGTTTCTATTTTTCTCTCTCCCCACTCCTTGCTATCACTATTCTATTTTCCTTCTCTGTAGGGTTGACTACTCTTAAACACCTTATATAAATGGAATTATACAGTACTGTATTTATCTTCTTGTTTTTGTAAAGGCTGAATAATACTCCAGGTATATTATATTTTGTTTTTGCATTCATCCTCTAATCTTGTTGATAATAAACAAGAGTTCTACTGATTGAGAAGGAGATATTTGTGATGCTCACCTTTCTAAAGTTTGGGTGTTTTCATTCTTTTTTTGTTGTTTTGTTTCGTCATTTTATTTTGAGCCACTTTATTTTCATGATACACACATTGTTAAGCAGAATTTATGTTTATATAGCCCTGAAAGTAATTGTATTTTGAGGCAGTGTGTAATTTCTCTAAAAATAGTAATAGAGTTAATTCACTGTCCTAGCACTGTTTCTGTTTAACTGATAGGTGCTCAGCAGAATAAATTGTATGTAGAGGATTTTACTGGCACATAAGATTCTAAGACCAAAGGATCTTAGGGAACTGGTCCAGCGTTTACAGGGTCATTCAAATATCTTCTAAGATACAGTATCTAGAAATCTAGAAATAGTTTTTAACAATAGGTACAGTGGTGAATCCCAGAGTATCCAGGTATACACAGAAGACAAACCAGTCATGGCAGTTTGAAATTTGAAGTTCTGGTCAAGTTTTATATCCTTCTTTATGGGAATTCTAAAGCATGAGATGAGACTCAAAAGTCCTTATTTTCGTATCAACATTTCAGATAATTACAGTGATTCAGCCAGCTGGGAAAACACTGATATAACTATTCCATATTATTTCTTCCCTCACCCTTCACTTCTCTTGGCCACTTTGATTGCTATATTAAGTGCTCTTCCAAAAATGTAAGCATTTGAATAAAGACATAAAAATAAACTTCATCTGAGGATTTAGCTTTTAGAATTAAATACTTCTGAGCTAGGCATGGTGGTACATACCTGCAATTCCAGCACTCAGGAGGCCAGGTCAAGAAGATTGCCAAGAGTTCAAGGCCAGCCTGGGATACATAGTGAGTCTCAAACAAAACAAAACAAAACAAAACAAAGGTTAAATATTTCTGAGGAAAAATTAAATGTTTAAAATGTATCAGAAAACCCTTTATTAATAATACTTTAGTATTGTTATCAGTGATATGAAAATGATATGTGAGCTTTTAATGTTCCTATGTAGAAGCTAGTCTTAACTCTGATTAGTCAGCCTTTTCTTTTCAGATATATGGCACCTCTGCTACAGTGTCCTTATCTCTCCCAGGAGTCAGAAAAAGAAAGAGATTTCTTTCTAGGGAGCATGAATGTGGATAGGGATCCTGGAGTGGAAAGAAGTTTCCAGTTTGTAGTGTACTCGATATGTTCTAGCTTTGCTTTAAGTATTTTTTTATATAAACAACCCTGTGAGGTATGGTGTGTCTTACCCTCATTGACAAATACACTGGAGCACAGAGGTCAGCGACTTGCCCAAGGTCATAGTAGTTATTGAGAGAGCAGAATATGAACTTGAGCTGTCTTGCTCTAGAATCTGTGCCCTTAGCCACTCTGTTATAATGGTATGTAATAACTAGAGAGTGGGATGTAAAATAGAAGGAAAAGAGAAAACATTGTGTGGGCCACAAAGTTGGAATAATCTGTGTTCCAGAATTTCACTGGATTCTTCCCAACATTACAATATCTAACAGAGTGACTTGCTCTCCCACTTTGCATGATTTACCTTTTAGAATTTCTCTTAAATTTCCTAAGTTAAAACAATAAGCAAAACAAAGCCTCAGTGGTAGAGCACTTGTCTCTCATATATGAAAATCTGGGTTCACAAAAGAAATACAGTGGATTCAACCATTTTAAGGATTCCAAATCTCTACTTGGAAATAGGCCTGTATAGTTTGGAAAGACTTTTCAAATGATTATGATTTGTAGCTGATTAAAAGCCATTTCTGAAATCAGGTGACTTTATGTACCTTCCTATAGAACTGTGGGACCAAAGTGACAGAGTACACAGAATGATTGTGGTAAATAATAATGCATCATGTATTTCAAAATTATTAATAGATTTTAAATGTATTCACCACAAAAAATAAGTATATGATGTGATGGATTTCTTAAATAGCTTGATTTTTATCATCCCACAATGTAAACAAAATAAAAACATTACATTATTCCCTATAAATTCATAATACACACAATGTTTTAAAAAGTAATAACAGTGTTTTAGATGTTTAGAATTTTTTTCTTTGTTTTTTTTTTGGTACCTGGGATCAAACTCAGGACCTTGAGCTTGTAAGTCAGGCAGCGGCCCCACTGAGCTAAATCTCTGGCCCTAGAATTTTTTCTTTTACCATGTTTTCTTGAAAAGTATAGCTTGCAAATGATTTAGATGGAGTTTCTGAGTAATATGAAAGCAGTATTTTAAGGGTCTAGGAATCTGAAAAAGGACAATAGAATTCTGAGGGTACCAACCCTGGCCCTCACTCTTTTCATGTAGGTGCTAAAAACCAATAAGAATATTATGAAGATTTACCTTGCCTCTTGCTTGTATATCCTAAGAGGGAAAGATCTTGATCTAATCATTTTTAACAGTGCAGTAAATCAGTCAGGGGCTAATATATTCATTTTGCTTCTCTCAGTCAAGTAAGCAGCCCAGATGTCAGTGATCAGAAACCTGAAACATCAAGTCTTGCTTCAAACCTTACCATGTCAGAGGAAAGTAAGTACCATATTTTGTACATGATCGAAGGGGCATTTCTATATGATCTTCTTGTGTAGTTGGGTTTCACTGATTGCCTGAATTGTCTCAGAATATCCAGAAAGATCTCTCCTTGTGTATATGTTCACTTGTACTCTCCTGTAAGATTTACCACCAAGTGGGGGCACCTTACACAGAATCTTCTCACCCAGGAGTCATGCTTGGTGATTTTATTTGAGGTTGGGTGTTTTAAAGGTAGTAGTGCCCTACTCAAAATAAGAGACAATTGTGGGCCAACCCTAGTTGATATTTTTTTCTGCCTTTCTAACAAAACCAAGTGACCCCATCTGTCAAATTTTGGCCAAGAAAGACAAGCATTCCCTTGAGCCCAAAATTGATGCTAGGCTCTGAAGGAGATTCAGCTCAGTAAGATACATCCCCCATGTACCAACTCTCGCTCTCATATAGGACAGTTATATTTATGTATTAGGGAGAATCTTTGTGGAGTGATCTGTTTTTTTTTTTCTTGTAGAGACATAGGCATTGTCTAACATGCCTACTTACTTGTCCATATTGGCTCCATGGGGAAAGTAGTCCATCTTGAAATTATTCTCAATCCTTCCAAACAATTTTCTCCTCTTTTTTCTTCAAAAACTGGACTGGGGATTTAGCTCAGTGGTTCCAGCGCCTGCCTCGCAAGCACAAGGACCCGAGTTTGATCCCCGGTACAAAAATAAAATAAAAAAACTATCATTGCTGTGAAGTCTGTATGTGTACTTTCCTTGTCTTTCTTTATTACCTTAGGCTGAACTATTTAGAGTAAAAGTCATTCTATATTCTTTAAAATAGATCTTCTCTGTTTTTTTCTCCATCTAAACTCTTAGAGTTCCTTGTGATTTTTAACATTCATGTAGATGACTTACCCAGTACCTATTATATTTATCTTATCTTCATTTTCCTTCTTACTCAGCATAGCTATTCTCTGGCCCTTTATTATAATTACTCTCTTAGAAATTTTGCAATAACAAATACTGTTAATATCCCACATATTCTTCTTGCTACACATGATCTTAGCCAAAAGGCCAAGAAGCGATTCATATTCTTGCTAAACCCCAGTCCTAATTTAACCCAGCTATCTACCTTCTCCATAAATGTATAAAAGTAATTAAACATTATTAAATAGAATTATATATCTAATTGACTACTTACACCCCAGTCATAGTCACAGGGCCTTAAGTAGGCCCACAGTATACTTTAAAATCTTACATTTTCCTGATTAGTTTTACCTTTTAATATTTCTTACCACTGCTTCTCTCAAAGCACCAATACTCAGCTCACTTTTCTTCACTTTCAGTGGATGGTGACTTCTTAAATAAAAGCTCTCAGACAGGTAGCTATTGTTCTACTACCACTACATCTTCAAACCTGTTGGTGTTTGTATCCATGTTTTCTTGTTTCCTTCTTGTAAGAATGGAAAGGATACTTTTGTTCCTGTCATATTTTAAATACTTATATTTGCATTACATATCCTATCCTCTCTTAACTTCTGCTAGAACTTTGGTAATATAGTTATCCTGTCACTCCTCCTCATCATCACATTCTTAGTAAATGCTTCCTGTCAATAAAGGGTGGATGGGAGCTGCCATCTTCAAATACAAACAAGAGCTCCCTTTGGCTCCACATCTTATGCTGCAACTTTCTCTATTGCAGTACACATCAGATCCTCTGAAAAGAGTTGCCCTCTCTTGCTCTCACCTTCCATTGACTCTTCAGACCCTGTCACATTTAGTTCTGTCACTCCACACTCTTCCATTGAAACTGCACTTGTCTTCAGCTACTTTCATACTCCAGGACCAGTAGACATTTCTCTTTCCTCATATTCTCCCTCTCACTGTTTCCTCCTACTTTTCTCCCTTGATTGGCTGGCCTTCCTTTAGCTGAATTTTAAATTTTGATAAGCCTCAAGGCTTGCTTCTAAGTCATCTTTTCCTTTTTGGGAGACATTCCTCCATTACGTTATTTTAAATATTCTGTACATTGTTAATGAATCCCAAATTTATATTTTCAGTCTGGCCTTTCCTTTGATTTCATTTGGGTATCCAGTTGCCCTTTTGAAATCTGTACTTATGTATGTAAAAGTAAAGTCATAGTTAAAAAGTCTTAAAAGAGTTTTTGATTCCATCATATCTGTTCTCTCAGTGTCGGCTTTTTTGCGGTGCTGGGTACCAGGGATCAAACTTGGGTTCTTGTGCTTGTGAGGCAGGTGACGGCACCACTGAGCTAAATTCCCAGCCCTTCCGTGATTATTTTTAATGGTTTTTTGTTTTTTTGTTTTTTGGTAGTGGGGATTAAACTTGGGTCCTTGCGCTTGCGATGTGGGCAGCGAAACCACTGAGCCAAATCCCCGGCCCTTTTTCCGTAATTATTTTTAAAAACCTCAAACAGTGGCATTGAGCAAAATCCTCTGTGATAACTCACACATGATGATTTGTCTTTTTGGGGTGTGAATTGGCCCCTTGCCTGCTCTTGACCAGGGCTTTCTTTTTTGTGTCAGGCACTTTGTACGGTTGGTTGGTTGGTTGGTTGGTTGGTTGTTTGTGACAGCGTTTTTCTGTGTGATTCAGACTGGCCTTGAAGTCACTATGTAGCCTAGGGTGGTCTTGAACTTTCAGGGTTCCTCCTGCCTCACCCTCCCAAGTGCTGGGATTACAGGTGTGCACCCACTGTGCCTGCCCTGGATCAGGCACTTTTTCAGGGAATCTAGATAGACAGAAAGTTAGTTGAATCACCTTCAGTCTCTGTTCACAGTAGCTGCTTTTATGGATTTTTTTTTTTTTTTTGGTACCAAGGATTGAACTTGGGATCTTGTGCTTGCAAGGCAGGCAGTGCCACTGAGCTAAATCCCTGGCCCTAAAGGAAGTTATTGAATGCAAGAGTCTACTGAAAGCACTTTATGGTGTGACTCTGTCTACAACCTGATCTAAATTAGTGCCTAATGAGTGGAATTTAGTTACCTGTCAAACTTGACTCAAATATTTACAGCACTTATCCTAGAAATTATGAAAATCAAGAGTTTATAGCAGCTGTTTTCAGAGAAAGTCATGGGGATCAAGGGGATATTAGCTGGAAAGTCACTCTTTTTTGATGATTCATCAAAGCATCACACCAATTATTCAAGTCTGTCTCTGCTTTGCCAGACTTAAAACAAGCTTTTGTTACAGATCACAGAATATAGTATAGAAGCATACTTGTCTCTGTTCTACAGTAGCAACCATTTTCTAATAAGAATGGGTGCTTTCCCCAAGTCTGGCTTCCTACAAGTCATTTTATGGCCTTTTACTAAGAATAGAGTAAGAGAGAAGGAGTAAGGTGGAGAAGCATAGTATGGTTTCCTAGACACAGATGTTGCTTTTTAAGTCTTCCAGTGATCGTAGTGCAAAGCTAAGGAGTTTGCTTCTTCTATGATTTAGATCAGTGATGGGTGAAAGTAGATATCACTTGGTACCAACTGTTGACTCTTTTTTCATAATCCCCACATTCTTGCTTCTTGTACTGTCTCTCAAAGTCTGAAAACATATCTATAAACACGAGTGAGGTATTTTCTATTACATAATCTTTCAAACTTTCTGGTCTCCAAACTATATTCTGTTGTTTAGTTTGAGAGACTATATAGTGACATGCAATTTTTCCACTTCATTTTGAAAATGTTCTGACTTTTTCACTTTTATTATCTGTCTTTCAGTTATGACATGCACCGATTACATCCCTCGCTCATCCAATGATTATACCTCACAAATGTATTCTGCAAAGTAAGTTGAATAATTATTTCTAAAATGTGTACTCTTTCTGTATAGTATATATATTTTTGTTGCAAAATTTAATTTGATATTTAGCTTGTTTTCACTTCTTATTCTCTCTATCCCTATTCTAATTTTTTATTCCCTCTAAATGTAGTCCATGTATCATCTTTATAAAATGTAAATAGTTGCTTGTAACACAGGATCCCACTCTGAGAGCCATGGAAGCAGGCAGTGACACCACTGAGCTAAAATCCTGGCCCCTGAATGCCATGGAAAATGTAAAATAATGTTAGTGATCAAAGCATATTACTGATTGACCTATGATCATTCTCTCTTTACCTTGATATAGACATCAATAATAATAGCACAAGCCAGCCCCATACTGGGACTTCTCAGCCTGATCTGTGTTCAGTTTCACATTTGAGGAGTGTCCTCAAAGTAAGAATTGGGGCCCGGGGTTTAGCTCAGTGGTGCCGCTGCCTACCTCACAAGCACAGGGTCCTGAGTTTGATCCCCAGTACCAAAAAACAAAACAAAACAAAACAAGAAATACTGGCAATTGAATCTCAAAGGTACAAGTTTTTTAGGTATACAATACAATTACATTCATTATTGGAATCTTATACCTTTCCATGATGTATCTTGGTTCTTATTTTTTCTCACTTCCTTGCAAACTCTATAATCTGGTATTAACATATTTGTATCATTGGGTCAGTCATTTTATGTGGTTTTCTTCTGTGAAATGACTAAAGCTATTCTCTGAAATCATTATGAAGAAATTAGATACTAACCTATGATCTTTGTCAATTCTGGAGATTGAGACATTTGCGGTCCACTAATATTTCACATCATTCCCATGTGACTTGAGTAACAACTATAACCTGGACTATTTTCTGGATTTCGATGTAGCTAAGAATAGTGTCTTTGTCTCTGCCTTGTACTCTGCATAACTACTTTGATTTTGTTATTCTCCTGTTATGATTTTTTTTTAATTTTTAAAAAGAATACAGTCTCTCAGAATCTACTGAGGTATGAATATGTTGCATAATAAATTTGGAATAGGCAACAAAGTGTTTGCATATCCACTACACTCAAGACATTCTGTTAGCTATTACTTTTGTCTTGCTTCAGACTTCCTTACTACTTACTGGAGCCATCGTGTTACAAGCCTTTTATTTCCCCCCAGGAATTGAACTCAGGGCCTTGTGTTTGCCAGGCAGGCACTGTGCTGCTAAGCTAAATCCCCATCTCCCTTGTAACCCATTTTTTAACCACATTTCTAATCCAGTTTCACCTCCTTCTCTTTGTGTGTGTATGTATGTATGTATGTATGTAGTTCAGACTGGCCTTGAACAGATTCTCCTACATCAGCCTCCCAAGTGTTGGGATTACAGACTTATGCCACCACACCTGGCCTCTAATCCTTTTTAGGGGGTAAGGGGAATTGAACTCAGGACCTTGCACTTCCCCAGGCAGAGTGGGTACCACTGAGCTACATCCCTGACCCTCATCAATTTTAGACAGCCATGTCAAGTTCTTTATTAAAAATACCTCTGATCTTGTCACTCTTGGCTCAACAATTTCAGCACCTCCAAGTTGTTTCAGATTTGTGTGAACTTTTAGGCTAGCATTAAGGGGTTTTGCTATCTTTCTTTCACTTGCTCCTTTACTTCTCTTAATATACCTGCCTTAATGTTTGTTCCTTGAAAGCTGAAGCCCCTGTTTTCCTTCCTCTGCAGCTTTGCCAGGGCTTTTCTTGTCCTAGAACACCTTTTCTCAGCTGTGTCTACCATATCTGCTTGGCTTACATACCACTTCTTGGTAGCCATCTTTTACTGTCCTTTCCCCACAAAGCTGGAGGAGTGGAAAAACTTTTTTCCTGCAGAAACACTCCACTGCACTCTGCATTTTGTTCTTATTCTTTGTATTATATCTGAGCACTTTTATACCAGATAAAATAACTGGTATTTAATGTTCAGTGCAATAGTATGGGTGAATTGACCAGGTCAGCTAGCCAGTGTAAAGTCCTGGGGGTTTCACTGCTGAATTCAAATCCCTGATGTGGTACTATGCACTGATTTAAATACCAGTGAGAAGATTGTGTCATGTCTGGGACTTCCTAGATTTGAATAGTTACCCTGATTCCTTCTTCATAGTCTTGATTTGAGGATATTGGGGCCCAACCCTACCTGCTTTCTGATATAGTTGCCTATCTTTTCTCCACCAGCTCTATTCTCTTTTCCCAGTCCCATTTTCTTTTTCAGAACATTTAGTTTTGCCCAGAAGGTTGGATGGAGAATGAGAATCATTTCTGTTCTATTCAGTTTTCTGTTATTTTAGTTTTATTCTATATGTAGATAAAAAGGCATAAATAAATTTAATCTTTGTGTTTTACATAAGGCCTTGCTTACAGCATATCGTAGATGTTTGAAACTTGGGAGGATATTTGAAACTATTGAATTTTCATAAAATTATTCCTTGGGTAGATGATAGTGGAACCTGAAAAGAAAAAGGAGGTTCTGCTGTCTATAGTAAGGCATTTATGTGGAAGATTGGTCTCCTATTCCTGATTCTTTGCATTTAGTGACATTATCTAGTTTACTTATTTTTTACTCTAAAATAAGTCACATGTGAAAGTTTTTTGTTTTCTTGAATTTTTCTAGACCTTATGCACATATCCTCTCAGTTCCTGTTTCGGAAACTGCTTACCCTGGGCAAACTCAGTACCAGACACTACAGCAGCCTCAACCCTATGCTGTCTACCCTCAGGCAACACAAACATATGGACTACCTCCTTTTGGTAAGGTACCTTATTATATGCAGTTTCCAAGAATGTTGCTTTATTCCCCCACAAACTTCTCTTTCCCCAGAAAGCTAGCATGGTTGATCTGGAAGCTGAAAGATGCATTCAGTGATGTGTGTGATGTAATTTGAGTGTACAGCTTTGCAGAAGTATCTTTGAAATGAATCATAGTTTTCAAAACTCATTGCTTACCCTTCAAAATTTAGCTGTTTCCCAGTTCTTGACCCTCGAGTTTGAAAAAGTATAGAAAATTCTTTGAGAAATTACTGTTGCTTTGACTTAATGTGTGACATGGTACCATGGTTAAGTAGGCATAATAAGTATATTTTGAGGTGGTCAATTTCTGCAAAAACCAAATAGCCTAAGTTTCTAGATAGCATATGCCTCATAGCTTACATTGTAGGGGTTTGGGGGTTATTTTTGTTTTCTTTTGGCCAATTTATTCTTTTCTTCCTTCCCCCATCTGCACCCAAAACTGATTAAACATTAGCTGAACCAAAAAACTCGTCTTAGAATATGGAAAATCCTTAACTTTTTATACTTTTATCATATGCAGAGACGTTATTTTTACTTCTTCTTCTTTTTTTTTTTTTTTTTTTTTTTTTGGAGGCGGGTACCGGGGATCAAACTCAGGCCCTTGGGTTTGTGAGGCAGGCAGCAGAACCACTGAGCCAAACCCCAGCCCTGGGATGTCATTTGTATTAGTTTTAGGTATCTTGGATATGAACTGTAACTCAGAGTGATTTACCTGAAATTAGTTTGAAGTTCTTTGACCATTTAATATTTATGGATTTTTTCTGTGTGCATATAAATTGATAGATATATGCAGGGTATTTTACTGTCCCTTTTGTGTTCTCTTAGCACTCATATCAGAAAATTGACAGAATACTGTATTGTTTTGATATATGCAATCTCCCTCTCCCTCCCTCTCACCCACCTCGAGATTTTCTTTCTTTTTTGAGACAGGATCTTGCTAAGTCTCTGAGTTGCCCTGACTGGGCTCAAACTTGCAAGCCTCTGCCTCAGCCTCTCAGAGTGCTGGGATTACAGATATGCACTTTTGTGATATATTTAACTAATCAGCTCTGAATAATCCATTTGGCAGAAGAACCATCTGAAGCCAGGTGTGATGGTGCACGATTGTAATCCCAGAACTCACGAAGCCAGGCAGGAGAATTACTGAAAATTCAGGGCCAGTCTGGGCTACATAGTGAGTTCAAGGCCAGCCTGAATTACAGAGCAAGACTGTCTCAAAAACAACAGCAAAAATGTATTATTGGCAAGCCCAAGTCCTTTATGACATTGTTAAACAGTTGATTATTCCTGCTATTGAATATTAAATAAAATTTCTGTTGTCTGTGAGCTTAGTTTATGGAATACTTAACACACGTGTGTATAGTGCTAGGTATTGTAAGGTCTTTATGGTAATTACATTTTCATTGTGCTAAAAAAGAAAGAAAACTCTGTAAAAAGATCTCTGTTTAAAACCTGCAGGAAACATTGTACTATGGGAAAAAAATCATAATAACATGCTTCCGTAATCTATTTTTGTTTAATATTTGGGGTAAGAAAGACTTCTTTGGAGACAAATTGTTCGTCAATAAATGAGAGACAGGTAATCATTAGCTTAATTTGATTTTAGTATCAGAGTTTGGGGTAGAGTGAATGACAGATATGGTATATTTGCACATTTTTCTGGAGAAATTATAGTAATCTTGAGTTTATAGTTAACTTTTTAAGGTTATTATATCTTTAAAAGGTGTTTACTTGGATTTTAACACATGGCTTTTTTGAGTAATGTTCATTGATATAAGAAAAAACACTTGATTTCTTTCTTTTGAAATCAAGATTTTTTTATAGTGCTGCCTATTTTCAGATTAACTAGTTTATTTTATTTCAGGTGTACATAGGGCTTCAGAAAATTTCATTATATTGATATATTTATTGAGTGTTCACTATACCAAATAAAATGTTAAGAATAAGAACTTCACCCTTCCTATTATTGTCTCACTTAATTTTCATGTCAGCCTTAGTAAGTAAATAGTAGAATCCCCTTTTATAAGTGGAGAAACTGAGGCTTTATTAAATCACTAACCCAGAATCATACAATTAGTAAATGCCTGGAATTAGAATTGAACCTAGGTCTGTTTAATTCTAGAGTTGCATAAATTTAGGTCTATTTAAAAAAGATGATCTCATATTTGAGTTTGAAATTTTAAAATTCCTGTTAAAGTAGAAAAGACTAGAAATCTAGGAAGAGAAGGGTAAATTAGGAGTAATCCTATTCTTTCTAGAGAGACACAGAAAATGGAGATTGGAGGTGTAACTTGTAGAGATTTGAAGGAATGTATGAGGAAAGGATGTTCACTTATTCATAGGGACTTAACACCGCCTTTAGCTGCTGTTGATCTAATTCATTTTATGTGAGATATGTAAGAGCCTTAAGGTTGGTTCATTGCATTTTCCTCAGTAATTTCACTTCTGGGAATTTATCCTTTGGAACTAATTAGAGATTCAAACATTTACTAACCAAGCTATTCATTGCAGCATTATTTATAATAGCAAAATATTGGGAACAGCCTACATATGGAATAGAAAGGTACGTGTTAAATTTCAGTGTTTCCTAGAACTCAGTAACCATTCTATATAAATGTGGGGTGTTTTTGGTAGTACTGAGGATAGAACCCAGGCATGCATAACACTTGAGCCACATCCTTTCTTTATTTTGAAACAGGGCCTCACCAAATTGTCCAGGTGGGACTCAAACTTACAATTTTCTTGCCTCAGTCTCCCTCTTGCTGCTCTCCCTCTCTCTCTCTCTCTCTCTCTCTCTCTCTCTCTCTCTCTCTCTCTCGGTAACGGGATTGAACTTGGGACCTTGTACTTGAGAGGCAGGCGTCGGCACCACTGAGCTAAATTCCCAGCCATATAAATGATAGCCTTAAAAATATTTGGGGTCATTAGAAAACATTATTATTAATTGGAAAATCAGTATGTGAAACTGAAAACAATATAATATTAACTTAGTATTTTTACAAATATGTGTATAGAAAATAATTTTGGAGGAAAGCAGTGTGGATTTTAACAGCGTAGGCTCTATAGATTTAATGTCAGTTACCAAGGAGCTGCAAAACAAAGATGTAGTTCCTGTATGCAAAGGTTTCATTTAACAAAGTCCCATGCAAAAATGAGAACTGCTGTGCTTTTTTTTCTGTGTGGTGAAAGTATGTAATTTTTGGGGAAGGGGGTTTGAGACAGCCTCTCACTATGTAATATCCTAATTTTCTGTAGTGTACAGCTCCCTCTTTTATAATCAGGGAAAGTACTCAGATTAAGCTTAGTGTAATAGCTCATCTGAATGAGCTTGTCAGTCACCCAAGATATTTTTTCATGTATTTTTTTTCTAGCATTGTTGTGTACTTCAGTTCCTAGTCTAATCAGTCTCTAACCTATAAACTGAATGATCAGATTTGTTTGGTTAGAGTGGTGGAGTTTCTGATGATAAGACCCCACTCTGGGGCAATAGGAGGGAAATACTGTACTCAGGGATACACTTTCTTTCCCATTGTTAGACAGTAGTCTCTCCACAGCAAGTTCCTAGGACCTAAAAGTTCTAGAAAATCTTTAGTGTTTCACAGACATAGAGCATTGGATTAAGAATCAGGAAATCAGGGGACCGGGGATTTAGCTCAGTGGTGCTGCCACCTGCCTTTGCAAGTGCAAGGTCCTGAGTTCAATCCTCAGTACCAAAAAAAAAAGAGGAAATCAGAGTTTGATGTCCTTGTTTGCTGTGAGCCAGTAGTGCTAGAGAGTCAACCCATTTGGTACCTGCTGCCTTTTATCTGGAATTCTGGGCAGAGTGACTTTAGAGAAAGATATTTATATGTTCCTTAAAATCATAGCTACAGTGATGCTGGAGGCAATGTTCGTATTATCTTTTATTCCTTATTCCTTAAAAATAATTACATATTAGATATCTTTGTGTTCTTGCCAAAAATATTCAAAACTAGCTATTCTTCTACTTATTTTGGACAATTTTTTGCCCTTAAGAGAGAGACCTTAATTTTTTACCTTCTAAGAAGAACCAGCTTAGAGATATTTTACAGTTTGAAGCTTTCAAAAATGTTTTGGTTTTTTAAGACAGGGTCTTGCTGTGTAGTTCAGGCTGGCCTTGAACTGGCTGTGGAGCCCAGGCTGGCCTTGAGCTTGCAGCAGTCCACCTGCCTCAGCCTTCTGAATGCTGGGATTACAGGTACACATTACTACATACAGCATCAAAATGTATATTAAATAGTAAGACTAACAAATCATTCTCATTTGATACTATTGTTATTAGATAATTGCTTTAGTATAGCAAAATAATAAATATGTTCACAAATCTAGTACCTTGGGGTCAAAACCTGTTTGGAAGAAGAAATCACATAGATTACAGTAAATCTAGATGTTATTATGAAATTTAAATGGTAATTTGCTTGGAATGTTAATGTTTTAATACCAATGTTTTAATACAAATCTGTGGTGAAGTCATTTTCTAAGTGAAAGAGGAAATTTTAAAATAAAGTGTGGTAGATACAGTGAAAGAAAAACAAAAAAATAGTAATTTGCTTACCAAAAATCTGGTGAAGTACCCATCAAGAATGATGGCATGGCATCATAAATATTTAAAAATAATATTTTCAAATACTTTTGTCATTGAAATTTAAACACAGCAAGTACCTTAGCACTGATTAACCTGGACAAATGATCATGAACTAAATGGAAGGGGCAGTCTTCCTAATTCAGGCTAAGAGACGCTAATATTCCTCTGTCTCCTCAAATAAATTATTTCATGTAATCAAAAGACAAGAAAAGAGCCAGGCATGGTGGTACACACCTGTAATCCTAGCACTCAGGAGACAGAGGCAGGAGGATTGCCAAGAGTTCAAGGCCAGCCTGGGCTATATAGTGAGACACTGTCTCAAAAAAACAAAACAAAACAAAAATATTACATTTTTCTCTTTTATGCTTTAAGAGTTTGACACAAAGAAATTACCTTGTCCAGTGGTCATAACTCCTTGCTATTCTTACATTTACTTAACAGATCCGACAAATTTGAATTACACTAAGGCAATTAGCGCCTTGCTGAAACAGATATCCTCATTATGAAAGTATTTATTTACTGCATATATTGACTATAGATTTTTTATTGAATTAAGAATAAATGAAATGAATTAATACTGAATTTGAAGCCATGACTAATCTTAGTACTGTGTTTGTACATGGAATGTGTTTGATGATGAACTCTTTTAGACCTTTCTATCAGTTTTGATTACATTGATCCAGCAACCTCTGTTCACAGTACACGAAAAACCAGGCATCCTATTTTTATTTTAAAAAAAAACAAGCTTTTGCATGCTAAAATGATTGCCAAAGCTATATGTTTATGAGTACTTTACTCAAAAAGAATATCCTTAGTATCTCCTGTTAAAAGGGAAGGTACAATTAAGATGAGCAATTGTAAAGGAGTGACACATCATTAAACCTAAAACTCATAGAAACTTGAGTTCAACGAAGCAGTGGTCTTCACATATCACAACAGCTTATACAAGTGTATTGACCTTTAAAAATAGGTCTGAGAAAATTTGAAGGTTCATTATTTTCTCCCTGCCTAGGAAGGTAGGATATAAATATATTTTAGGAATACTGTCAAGTCAGGTGCCTTAAGATAAAAATAAAATAAAAGCGAGCAGTTATGGTGTCTGCCAGCATAAGATGGATTTATATGATCTGACATAGAATGATGTCAGGCAAGAGGAGAGCCAGTTGGAGACCAGCCTTGGCAACTTATCCAGAGGGGTGAGGGGACCTGTGATGTAGCTCATTGTGAAAGTTGTGGGTGCTGCAGAGAGAGAGAGACAGAGACAGAAACAAAAGTTAGTTACAAAATAATCACCTCAAGAAAAAGAAGAATTTAGCTGGGCGTGGTGGTGTATTGCTGTAATCCCACCACTCAGGAGGCTGTGGCTGGCCTGGGCTACGTGATAATAAGTTCAAGGACAAGAAAGAACCAAGACATATCATGTAAAGGTACAAGATCCCAATGATAAATGGAACTGTATTATTTGCTTTAAATGTACCAATAAACTTAGTGGGGAAAAAATAATCAGTTCAAGGCTAGCCTGAACTACATAGTGAGACCCTGTCTAAAAAAAAAAAGACAGCAGCAGAATTTAACACATTTTAGAAAAATTCAGAGTTTGTTTGATGGGTAAGTGAATTTTAAACTTATGTGAAGTATCTCCCACCTTGACAATTTGGATAAATGACTTATCACTGTACATGAACATCAGATAATGACAAATACTCCAGATTGGCGTCAGTAACTTTTTCTGAATCCTGGTCAGTTACCCCCAGCCATTGAAGTGAACTTATATACATACATACTGCTGTTGGGATTTTTAGCACAAATTTTGTTTCTATGGTCCCATCTCCTAATTCTTTGAAACCATATTTGCTTGTGGTATATTACAAATGGGAAAATCAATAATTTTCTCTTACAAGCAAATTTATTTTTGTTTTAAGATTTAGATTTTAAACCTACGGGCTGATATTTGAAAGCATAACCATGCTCCTTAGTCCCAGTGTATTGTTTGTAATTGGTCCAATTTATCTGATTCAGGTGCATTGTGGCCAGGTATGAAACCCGAAAGTGGTTTAATTCAGACTCCATCTCCAAGTCAACACAGTGTTCTTACCTGCACTACAGGGTTAACCACAAGCCAGCCCAGCCCAGCACATTATTCTTACCCCATTCAAGGTAAATAGGCATGGTTGTGTTTATGTGTTATTTAATTATTATTGAGTTTTTTTGTTTGTTTTTAATTTACCTGTATATCCAAACAAATTGGATAATACAGGTGTGCTGTCATCTAAAATATAGAAAGTGGTGATATTTGCATTTATGCATGCTTTTTGTGTTAGGTAACCCAGCACCAAAGAGTGTGGTTTGCAAGTAGTCTTAGCCTTTGAATGTAAGCTGCTTAATAGAGTTAAAGCTTTCCCTTCTGCATGTTGGTGCTGATATATCTTAAAGGTATCTTGTCCTGCAAAGTAACCAGAAAATTACAATAAATGAGAATTTTGCAAATTTATTTTATATGAACTGTCAGGCTGACATTGTAAAGTGTGTGTGCTTTTCTACTGTGGCTTTGTCACCTTGTACCCCTTTTATTACAGTACTTCGTAGGGCATTTCTCTTGCTCAGAAAAGTTCATTATTGTTTGTACTTCAGCATGAAAAGCACAGCATTAAATTCAGACTCTTAAAAAAACATTATCTTCCCAATTTTCCTAAAAGGTTAGGATTGTATCAGGACAATCGGGAAAAAGACAAAAAAAGGCAGGGATGGAATCAATTTTCTGCCTTTCCAAATCCAGTGTAGACCATTTACCATTGCTTCAGACTGGGAACTGCGACCCTATACCTGCCTTATCACCTGCCTTCTTTATGCTGGTTTCTCCTGGCTTTTTTTTTTTTTCTCCTTTATCCCAACTTGTAAATTTTATTCTTATAAATAGGCACTAGAGGGATGAGAATGGGATATACAAAACCTGTGTGAGGTTCTTAAGATAATGAACTGATGATGAGAAATGTTTGATATACTGAAAACAAAATATTCTATTTTCAATTTTAACTCTATGATCAACATCTTAAACAGTTAAATTTGGGGGAACTACTTAACTGCTTAGTCTAGTGGAAACTCCTGTTTTTTACCAAGTCTGCCCCGCCTTTTTGAAACTGATGTGCTTTTTATTCAAAGTCAAATCAATTCTTCTAAACACAATAAGCCCATTTTGTCGATGTGGATACAAATATTAAAGAAAGATGATTATTTGGTACTTGACTCAGTTATTGAAAAATTTTTAAGTATGCTTGGAATGCCCCCTTTTCTTATGTTCTATTACTGTCTTTATTTCTAGGATGGGAACAAATTAGAGAAAAACTCAAGAGCGTGACTACTTTTTTTCCACTCCTTCCCCCTCCCCTTTTCTTGAGATGCAGTCTCACTGTGTTGCCTAGGCTGTCTTGAACTCTTGAGCTCAGGTGATCCTCCTACTTCAGCCTCCCAAGTGCTAGGATTGAAGGTGTGCAGGCCTAACCAGGGCTGCTCCTTTATTCCAGTCATTCCATAGAATGAAGAAAAAAAAAAAAAAAGAAACGTGCCACGCATTGGTATATGTGTGCTGTTTTGTTTTGTTTTAAATGGTCAGGATAGCAATAGCCACTCAGCCTAACCCTGGCCATTCTACAATTGGCAACGCCCCATCTTCCCTGGGGAAGTCAGTAAAATTATCTCATAAGCCAAAATCTGCTTTTGGTTTAACTCTAATCAAAACCTTCACTTTATACCTCAGTGGTACTGTAAGGAGAGAGGATTGATTGCTCTAGTATGCTCATGAAAATCCTCTGAATAAATATATCTGACTTCTTTTTTTCTTGTAATTTTCAGTGTAGTGGTAAGATCTAACTTCTTTATATCATTCTTCCTACAGTATCTGGTGAATATGTGGCCTTGAATTGGTCATTTTCTTTAGTTGAGATGATCTGATTGAATAATATTTAAGTGGCAAAATTTCAAAATTAATTTTAACTCAATTTTAATTTTTAATTAATATTTTTGGTTCCAGTATTGTTAACACAGTAGTCTTCCGTTGAACAGAAAGTTTTATTTTGTTTTAAATCAATGTACTTCATTTTTTAGCATATCATTTTCTAAGATTATAGAAAAATTGAGCAGATAGCACCTAGATTTCTCATGTATTCCCCCACATACTCTACATGGTTTCTCTATTATTAGCATCTTAAACAGTATGTTACATTTTTTAGAATGAGTGGACTGATGTCAGTATATTATTATCTAAGTCTGTTGTTTATTCAGATTTCCTTAGCCTTAACCTGATGTCCTTTTTCTGTAACAAGATCCCACCTAGGGTACATTAGATTTAGTTGTCATATCTCTTTAGGCTCCTCTAGACATTGCAGTTCCTCACACTCCCTTGTTTTTGGTGACTTGGGAGTTTTGAATAGTATTAGTCAGGTATATTATAAAGTACTCCACTGGAATTTGTCTGATGTTTTCTTTCATGAAGATCACAGAGGTGAAAGGTCTTTTTTTTGTCACATCATGTCTGGTATGCACGCTGTCCTTTCGACTTAGGACTACTGATGCCGCCTTGATCATCTGGCTGAAGTAGTAGTATTAGGGGGTTTCTCCATTATAAAGTTACTTTTTTTTTGGGGGGGGTACTGGGGATCTAACTCAGATCTTACTTGCAAGGCAGGTGGTGGCACCACTGAGCTAAATCCCAGGCCCGTAAAGTTACTAATTTTCCATTTATGTTTGACTGGAAGTCACTGTGTCCATGGTTATTTCTATTAGTTGACGATATTAGGTTGACTAGGAGGGCATGGCTCTTACAAATTGTCTAGTCAGTGATTTCACAGCTCTCTTTTCAGAACAGGTGTGAGGATTGTCAGAAAACAGTTGGCTGTGTTATTCTCATGTAGAGATCTAACAGCCTTTAGATATGTAATAAACTACCAGTTAAATTTTATTTGATTCTGTAAATTTGTACTTTTTGTTACGTGTTTCATTGCTGCTGCTTTAGTTTTTTAAACCTGCACATATATGCAGAATAACAGCACTTTTTTTTTTTTTTTTTTTTTTTTTTTTTTTTCCGGATGTACCAGGGATCAAACTCAGGCCCTTGTGCTTCCACTGAGCTAAATCCCCAGCCCAATAGCACATTTTTCAAAAATTCTTGGCATTTTAGTCATGGATGAAGTAAGGTAAACTGTGTTTATGTATATTTTTAGGTAAATTTAACTTGAGTTCAGTGTTAATTAAAGGTGCCTAAAAATTATGACTTACTTAATTATTGACTAATTTCCCTCCCTAGAATTTAAACTCCATGAGGTCAGGTATTTTGTCTCACTTCTTCTTCTAATTTTCAGTGTCTGAAACAGTTTCTAGGCACATACTAGATCTTGATATATTGACTGTTTGCTGAATGAATGCACGATACCTGTTAGAAATGATTTGGTTGAGTTGCAGAAAGAAATACCGTTGAGCTCTGTGAATTTTTAAGTCGTCAGGCCAAATTGTTGAAAACTTGTTTAAAACTCGATTATCAACTAGCTAACCAATTCATGAGACTTCCTAGCAGTAGTAATAGAGTACATGTCCAGTTGGTAAAGTCTGCTTTTTTACTACCGTCCCAGTTTAGTAAGTGGTCTGAAGATTGTTAAATTTCTAAAACCAATTAGGGTGCATTTCCTCCCATGTATATAGAAATCACATATAATAGAGTTGAACATCTAGCCACTAGTAAATTATTGAGAAATTCAATAGAATTAAAATACTAAGAGGAAAAAAACATATACCAGATCCATGGTCAGTGGAAAATTGTAGAATGGGCTTTGCTGAGAAAGATAAGAAAATTCTTTATTTTTGCTCCCATTACTTAAGTCACCTCTGTTCAGTCTGTTTAATTGCAGGCCTGTTTAGGATAATACACTGTTAATAGAATCTGGAAATTAGTCAAAAATCTTCCCATAAGAATGATGAAAGCAGGACATGGCGGTGCACACTTGTAATCCCAGCACTCAGGAGGCCAAGGCAGGAGGATGGCTGCAAGTTTAAGGCCAGCCTGGCCTACATAGTGAGTTCAAGGTCAGCCTGAACTACATAGCAAGACCCTTTCTAAAAAAAAAAACAACAGCAATGAAAAAACTACAGAGCAGTCTACCCTATGCACTGCCATTTTTTGAGTATTTCATCTTAGGAAAAAGTATAGGTTAAGTTACAATAGAAAAGATGATAAATACTGATGGGAAAAAAAAGCATACCATCTATAAGGTTATAAAATTGACTTTAGTTGTAGTTAAGAAGGTACATTCTTAAGAGTCCTTTAATACTATACCACCTGGGTAGTCAGGAAATGATCCCTAGGTCAGCCACTGATTTAGGAAAAGCATTGGATAAAGAATTTGGAGATCCAAGTTGTCACCTTCATTAACTGCCACTAGCTTTGTGCCTCTGAAGAAGTTAAACTCTTCATTTTCCAGCCAAAATTTACAACAATTGCAATAATTTCTTCTAAACTCTTCTAAGCAGAGCACCAAACTGCTCTCTTTTCATTTTGACCAGTGCACTCTCTGTTGCATTTTTTTCTCCAGTTCTGGTCTTAATGGAGGTTTTCTTACTGACTTTCCCCAGAAGGACTTTGTTAGTAATGGGATAGGTACTCAGCTAAGCAAATCTATCTACTACTGGTGAACACTCTGGGTGTGTATGGCTATAGTAGAAGCCATGTCTGAGTGTGTTTATGATAAGTGAGAGAGGAGTTCAAAACTACTACCTCATAATATCAGTTACATTGCCTACCTGAAAAAAAATTCTTGTAATATTTACTGGTCACTAATGTTTGGGTAAACCCTAGTGGAATCTGTGATCAAATGATAAAAACTTAATTCAAATTCCTCATCTTAAGGCAGGCAGCCCAACTAGAGTGTATGTATATTTTTACCTGACCAGAATATATTTAATATTTTCTGAGTTTTTGCATTTTTGTATGTTCATTGATAAAATCCCTACATACTAGATCAGTGATGGCGAACTTTTTAGAGCTTTCAATGATACAAACAGCCTGCTGCAAGCACGCATGCCGTAGGTTCACCACCATTGTACTAGATCATGAAGTTATCCATTAATAATCTGTTATATGTGTAGAAACCAAGAAGCATTCCAGGCATTTTAGAATTTGGAGAACTCTTTTTCTCAAAGTACTTAGGTTGTATCAGGAAGGGCGTAATTTTGGGGAAGTGATAATAAACAATAACACAGGGTAGGAGTTGCTCTGTTGATTGTCAGTAGATCCCATTACAGGTGAGTGGTTTTTCAGCTTCTAAAGAAGATGGAATGGAATGAGTTCGTTTAGTTCTGATTTCATTGGTATCATTAGTATAAACTATGAATTGTATATGTATCCTTCTAGGACTTTAATAGGAAGAGTTGAAGACTCAAGTTGAAACAGAAAGACATTTGAAATGTTTGTTTCTAAGCAAGTCTAAAATGAGGGGGCATGACATGCAAAAATCAAAACAAGTATTTGTTTCCTTTTTTGGTGTTCTTTATCTCCTTGTAGATACTTGAGGGCAATATATTTTCAGCGTCTTCTAGCCTTCTACATAGTATCTTTAGCTAATGTCTCTTAACCCTTTCCATCCTATAGCTTCAAGCACAAATGCCAGCCTGATCTCCACTTCCTCCACAATTGCCAATATTCCAGCAGCAGCAGTCGCCAGCATCTCAAACCAGGTACAGTGTGCTTCTTTTGTTTACCCTGTTTGATTTGGTTCATCTAACTTGCTGTCTTTTTCCCATAGTCATCTAAGAAATAATCAGAAATGGTGTAGTCTGCACACCCTTTTTCTGGATACCCTCAGAACTAAGACTCTAGATTGCTTCTCAGACTGCCATCCAGTTTCTCTTGTTCCTTGCTAAGCCTCTTTGGATTATGGCTGTGTTTTGCCACTTTATCTGGTATAGTTCTTTCTACCTTATACCTTGCCCCTATTAGAATATAAGCTGCACAAAGATTAGGGATTTATTTTTCTTTTTGCATCGTTTCTGTGATTTTTTTCCGTTGATTTCTAGCTTCCTTCTGCTATGATCCGAGTGTATATAGGAGATTATTTCAATTCTTTTGTGTTTACTTAAGTATCCTTTAGTTATGGAAAAAGTCCTATGGGCTATTGAGAAGAATGTGTATCTGTCATTCTTGGATGAAGCACTGTAGATATATGTTAAGTTCATTTGTTCAGTGTGTGGTTTAATAGTTTTTTGTTTTTAATGTGTTATTTTCTCTACAACAATTAATATTATCACCACTGTCTCCATAGATCTTTCTTTCTGGCTGCAGTTGACATTTCTATTGTTCCTTTTCTCTGTTTCATTATTTTTGTATTTGTTCTTTCTTTTAGTTCACAAATATTTATTGAGGTCCTGCCTTTGTACCTAAAACCCTCATAAGGACTTTCTCTTTTCCCATTCATGTTTCTTCTTTTTGATCCATCTTCTGACGTGGACAGTCTCTATTTAGTTTTCCATGTCATAATAACTTTGATCTCAGGATGTTTAGCCATCACACAGTGTCCATTTACAGCCTGTAGGGTAAAGAGTCTGATCTTAACCTCATGATGTTTGAACCTCTAGCTGACTGAGGAATATTTTCTTTAATTCCCCACTATTTCTCTTAAGTTCATTATATCCAAAACTAGACCCTGGGCCCTGGGGGTGTGTGTGTGTGTGTGTGAGAGAGAGAGAGAGAGAGACTAGGGATTGAACCAGGGCCTTCAAACTGAGCTACATCTCCAGTCCCCCCCACCAGGCAGTGTCTCACTAAATTGCCTCAGTTGGGCTTGAATTTGTAATCCTCTTGCCTCAGCCTCCCACAGTGCTGGAATTACAGGTGTGCACCACCACCCCAGCATAATGCCACATTTTATCAAGTCATTCACCTGATCAGACTTTTCATGTTTTTATCCCCATTTTCTAACCTGTATAAGCTATGCAGTATTGCCTAAAGCATGCAAGTCATATTACTGAACCCTTCATTCAGACCTATAAGGATCCATTGTTTTAACCAGAATGGACATCTATGGCCCTTTAATAAAACCTTTGCAGGGCCTATTCATGGTCTTGCCTCCTGCATTAGTCACTTTCTAGTTTCTGGGACAAAATACCCAAGAGCTGTAGTTTAAGAAGGAGTGGTTTATTTCTATTTCATAGTTACAATAGATTCAGTGCATGGGAGAAAAACAGCATGGCAGAAAAGCTTGGCAGAGGAAAGATGTTCACTGCATTGCACCATGAAGCAGAGAGAAGAGAGCCACTGAGGATGGTCATACATGCGTAGAAGCCATGACCCCCAGTGACCTGCCCCTTCCAACCAGGCCCACTTCTGAAATGAGACTTTGGGGGGACATTTTAGATCTAAACCATAATGCCTCCCTTATGTATTAATCTCAGAAAGCACTCTCAACCATTACCGTCCATAATGATGGTCGTCTTCCTCTATATTTCACTCCTTTAATATGTAATCTTTTACAAATTTGATAGCAATTTTTTGTCTTCTTTCCTACTAAATTTTCAGTTTCTTTGAATTCTGCTAAAGTAACTTATTCTTTTCTTTAATGTTCCCGTGTTCTCCATGCACAAGTATATGCACACACACAATTATATTTTATTTATAATAGGGTGCTTAATGATTGTACAAAGATTTGGTCTAGCAATTGGCATCTTCCAACTTTCTGCTTGTCACTAATATGAATGTCAGTGGAACTTTTTGAAAGGTATATATTTGATCTCTGTCATTTGATTTTATTTTATAGCTCTATTAAGATGTAATTGACATACAAAAAAACCCCAGAGATTTAAATTATATGATTTGGTAAGCTTTGGCATATATGTGCTCATGAAACTACCGAAAGTTTCTTCCCAAGATTTTTTTTAAAACTTCATTTTTAAAGAAAACTTGATTTAAAAAAAAAAAATCAGGCCAGAGATATAGCTCAGTGGCACTGCCTGCCTGGCAAGTGCAAGGTCCTGAGTTCAATTCCTGGTGGGTAGGGTGGGGCTGGAAATGTATGTAATTCACTGGTAGAGTGCTTGGCTAAAGTGTACAAGACCAGAGTTTAATCACCAGCAGAGACTCAAGGGAAGAGCACATAAGAATATCAGTCTCCAAACTACGAAACTTTCTTGTAGGAGATGTGTTTTGTTTTGTTTTGTTTTTTGGAACTGGAGATCAAACTCGGGACCTTGAACTTCCAAGCAGGCAGTGACACCACTGAGCTAAATCCCTGGCCCAGGAGATATTTTTTTTAAGTTCATGTGTCCTTAGATTTACTACTTTTTTTTTTTTTTTTTTG